TAGTCCTCAAAGCTGCTCCCTGTCATCTTTAAGGCAAATTAGAAATGGTTCTTCATTTTAAAAAAGAATGTTCACACGCTGAATAGGAGGATTGTTTGAGGCTAGGAGTTTGAAACTTGCCTTGGCAATAGCTAAGTCTCTACAAAAAATAAAAAAGTTAGCTGGGTGTGATGGTATGTGCCTGTAGTCCTATTTCCTAGGGACTTTTTATAAGTTAGTTTTCCTTATTTCCAAATTTTAGAAACCCATTTCCAGTGTAAATGAGGTATTACTGGGGTTTGGTTCATAAATAAAGGAAATTTTCATGTTGTTTGTGGTGATGGAGTATAGAGAAGGGAAGAGATTATGCACAGAACTATTGTGGTAAATAGAGTAAGTAGCATTTATATCTTAAGTAGTTGGGTTATAGAACAAAAGGAACTAATACTCTGTTGTTGTTTTTTTGCAGTTTTTGGCCAGGGCTGGGTTTAAACCTGCCACCTCTGGCATATGGGGCCAGAGCCCTACTCCTTTGAGCCACAGGCGCCGCCCTAATGCTCTTTTTTTTTTTAAATTGAGACAGAGCCTCACTATGTTGCCCTCAGTAGAGTGCCATGGCATCAAAGCTCACAACAACCTCAAACTTAAGGGCTTAAGGGATTCACTTGCCTCAGCTTCCCAAGTAGCTGAGACTACGGGCTCCCGCCACAATGTCCAGCTATTTTTTTGTTGCAGTTGTCATTGTTTTAGCTGGCCCGGGCAGGGTTTGAACCTGCCTGCCTCTGTGTATGTGGCCACTGCCCTACCAACTGAGCTACAGGCATCTCCAGGAACTAATGCTCTTGACCGTTTCCAGTGTGACAGATAATTCATAATGGTCAGTACTTAAGTAACCCTAAGATGGAAGATTTTTACTGTCACCCTCAGTTTATGAAGGTGAAGAAATTAAAGTGCAGAGAGGTTAAATAATCTGTCCTTGGCGTGAAGGTTTGAATACATATGTGTGCCCTTGACTATTCTCTTGCCTTGTATTTTTAGTAACGTTAATTTGGAAATTTTAAGGCCACTTTGTCTTGATTATGTATGTCATACTGTGTTTCCCAGAAAATATTAATCTTACAATTAGTATTTATGATGATACATTTTAAACTTAAAAGATGAATAAGGTAATACATGCATGTGGTTTAAAATCAAATAGAACAGAAAGGTGTCTACTATAATGTAGGACCTTCTGACCTACTTTGCCTAGTTCTGTTCCCTAGAAACAACTATTTTTTTTTTTTTTTTGAGACAGAGCCTCAAGCTGTCGCCCTGGGTAGAATGCCGTGGCATCACGGCTCAC